CCTTTTATGAATGTAAAATGGATTATCTTAGGTATTTGATACATTGGATGGTGTTGAATGATGGAAAGACTTAAACCGAATATTATGTCCTCATGTTATTAATCAATTAACTGTGATAAGTTGTTTTAATGATTAAAAACACTTTTAATTGAGGACTATACTTTCAAAAGATGTTATAGAGACTAAAAAAATAACTTTAAAATTAAGAGTCACATTTATCAATTGAATGAAATCGAGAGTGATAATAAATGTCATTGAGACTAAAAATACTTTTGAAATTGAGAACTATATTTTCAAGAATGTCATCGATCGATTAAAATTGAAAGTCACAAGAAATGTCATTGAGACTAAAAATACTTTTAAAATCAAAATCCACATTTTATTGATCAATTGAAATCGAGAATCACAAGAAATGTCATCCAACTAAAAATAGTGGTTTCATCGAAACAAAATAATATTCAAGTGTTTAATAAAAATGTTATCAAGATTGATGAAACAGTAATTTCATCGATTTAAACTATCGAAACAAAATGACATTCAAATTTTTAATAATAGTAATGTCATCGAGATTGATTAAAAATAGTGGTTTCATCGATTAAAACTTTGAAAATGAAATTAATTGATTATTTCAAATATTGATCAATTAAAAACCAATCCTAGGAGCATTTAACATATTAAAAACAATTTTATCCTATTAAAGCAATTAAAGATGGAGATATTTCTACTAACTTAGAATATGATTAACTTAAAGAATGGATTAAAGCACACATACTTCTATATCTAGACTCACACACACAACTACACTCATTTACGAATCTCAGTGAAACATTTATTAAACTTTAGAACCACACTCATTTACGAATCTCAGTGAAACATTTATTAAACTTTATAATTTCTAAAAAACAGGATAAAATATAAGGAATTCAGTTCATTTTCCAAATATTTATTTGTTTTCTTACATTTCAACTCTTTAATTGATTAAATCAACCATTTCATTGATTAAAACAAAGAGAACATTCTGAAAATTTTGATAAATTGTTATAACAGTTAAAAACACTGGACTATATTTTCAAAATATGTCATTGAGACTAAAAATAACTTTAAAATCAAGAACCATATTTTATCGATTGATTAAAATCGAGAGTCACAAGAAATGTTATCGAGAATAAAAATACTTTTGAAATTAAGAGTCACATTTTCAAGAATGCCATCGATTGGTTAAACTCGAGAACCACAATAAATGATCAAGCAAATGGTCAATGTAATGAAAAAATTGTAAGTGAATGATTTGGGAAAAAATGTCATTCAGGTAGTGTGATCACTAGACAAAATATTGGATACAAAAGTTTTATACCTAAAATGGACTTGATTCCTTTTGATCTTGAATTTCTTTTCAAGTTTCAAAGTGGATAATTCTCTTTATCATTATGTTTTGTAATGACAATCAACGAACGTCAAGGTCAATCGCTCTCTAAAGTGAGACTTTATCTTCCATGTCCAGTATTTACTCATGGTCATTTTTCTACGTTCCTAATTCATTCTAGAAAACTACTCTTCAGAATCTTTAGATTCTTGATTCTCACATAATAACATACATGAATCATATCATAATAAGAAGACTAACCTTGATCCATGAGAATCTATTCTTTTAATCTCTTTATTATGTCATAATAAGAAGGCTAACCTTGATCCATAAGAATATGTTATTTAATCTCTTTGTTCTCTAACCTCTCTCTTTGGTTGTCAGTGTTTGTTTGCATGTTCCCTTTCTTTCACCATCAAATGTTGTAAAATTGTTGAAGGGTATATAATTGTTGTTGATATCCATACTGTCAGCTATAAGTCCTTAAGATTATTGTAAAAGTTGACAGAGACACGAACAAACTTTATTCTTGAGGCGTGTATAATCATTGTTTGTAAGGACTTATTCGCGGTGTATTGTGCACAATGGCGAATCTTCACCATTGATTTTGGAGGGACCAAATATTAAATAATAGTAAATAAATATAAAAGGGTGAAAGAAGATGAAAGAGTGAGAGGATAAAATTGTAAATGTATAAGTAAATATATAAAATGATCATTAAGTTTGGGAGAAATCATAAATTATATGAGTTACAAAACTGAGGAGAGACTGGAGAGGATAAATTTGTAAAAATAAATATATTAAAGTTTGAGAGGGCCAAAATCATAAATTATATGGGAGTTACAAAACTTTGGGGGCCACGACCCTCCTCATTTCCGAGGAAGATCCGCCACCGATTACGCAAGTCTCTCAGGATACAACAAGAACTTCTTAGAATTTCTGAGGATCTCAGAAACTAGCAAGAAATTCTTAAAGGAATAAATAAACCCAGGATAATAGTAAAACAGGAAAAAAATAGATAAGAGAAAATGAGAGAGGTGTCTCTAGAAGAGTGTGAAATAGTCTTTATTTTAAGCGTAGATTGAACCTAAAACCTTAACTATCTGTAACGTTCTATGTTTTGCAATATCCCTTATTTTACAACATATTTCGATAGTCAAAACAAAAATAGATTAAAAATACAATAAAGAACATTTAGCTTCATGTGCTAAACATGTAGTTTACAATTTTATTTTATTTTTGAAAACCTTTAAATACAAACATATATCACTTTGGTTTCTCATGTCAGGTACAGATTTTATTCTTAAAAAAAAAACTACATATTTACTTAATTTTTTTATATTAATATATATTTTTTTTTAATGTTGCAGTTGCATATTATAATTGATTATTGATCATGGATTACAACTATCTAATCTCCTATCATTATTATTATCTTTGTTTTAAGTGAATTGTTTTATCTTTAGAATATTCCTTAATACATTCATATTTTTCATGCATATATAAATTTTATAAATTATTATACTAATTTGTTATTGATAAAAACTTTATAAATATAAAATATATTAATTATTTTTTATTTCTTTATTATTTCTAAAAAAACACGTAATATATTTATTGTATTATAAATTTATGAAAATTCTGTATGTTATACGATAAAGATGCGTAAACCTAAGTTAGTACTTACAAAATGTCTAAATATACATATTCACTTATTTCTAAAGTTATTACAAGTAGAGTTTTCTTGTGTTTTTTAATTTATAAATTCATCAAATGAATATTAAAACTATTTTTTTAGAATGGTTATTTGGAAGCAGAAATATTTATGAATAACATGAAAGCTTTATAACTTCAGGAAAATAAAATAAAAGTATGCAAATTTATTGTTTTTATATGGTTTTCACATCCATAAGAGTGATAAATGTGTGTATGTGATACAAATTTGAAAATAAAACTTGTCTTATTTAATCCCTATATATGTTTGAAATTAATATTTGGGAACAATGTAAATGTTATAACGGATGTGAAGTCTTTACTATCTAGTAATTTTGATAAGAAAAGCCTTAATCTTATAGATGTGATTTTGGGTATCTAGTTAGTAAAAAATGATTACTTTGACTCAATTACATCATGTAGGAAAATTTTGTGAAGAAATTTAATTATTTTGAAGTGAACTATTTTTCAATGCCTTATGTCTTATTACATTTATGAGAAGGCATTTATTTTCGTAAATATTCTTAAATTATTTGTCATTTATTACATTTAACAATTTTTGTTTTAAACCTGACATTACATTTACATATGTTGTTGGTAAATTAAAAAGATGTACTTATAATCCTAATCATTCATATTGGACTGCATTAGAAAGAATGTTTCAAAAAAAAAAAAATCAATTATGACATTCATTAATGTTGTAATTGAGGGTTTATGATGTAAATTGGATATTTTTATTTTGGTAAAATAAAATCAATTTATGGTTTTCTTTATTTTAGTTTGAATTTAAATAATGGAATTTTACTAAACAAATTATTATTTTATATTCTCCCATGAAAGAAAAGATTAATAAGGAGTGAAGTAATAAGTTAATAAATCTCTTATATCATATTAGAAATAAATAAATATTTAATTTAATTTTATAAAATCTTAGATGAGATTATTATTAATTGATTATATTTATTAATTTATAGATGTAAGATGAGATTGCTCTTACTCAAATCCAGTTGTACAATTTTTTTACTTCACAATCAGAATTATTACTTTATTATCAAAGGCTGACTTGGGTGGACATATTTTTTCTTAACCATGCAACTTGCATAACTTCCTTACGCAGAGAAAAAAATAAATTCCCTTCCACTACAAAATTGTCTAACTTTCTTTTAAAAATGTTTTTATAATTTTTATACTTTAATACAGGATTAATCTTTATATAGACCAAAGATCCTTCGACATAGTCAATTAAACTCACGAATTATTAAATCTTAGGATAAAAGCATATATCAGTTCTTTCTATTAATATAATAAGAGTGTTTTATTTCCAAAGACAATGCTCTGTATCAATTCTCACTTTTTCTAATATTTCCCTCTTTATACTTTTATGCAGTGTTATTTATTATAAATTTTAAACATTGATAATCTTACTTTTTTCTCTCTCTCTCTCTCTCTATATCTCTCTTTCTATCTATATATATATATATATATATATATATCTTTCTTTCTCTCTCTCTCTCTCTCTCTCTCTCTATATATATATATATATAGTGTGTGTGTGTGTGATTTTGAGTAAGAGCAGGTAGAGAACAAAACACCATTCTTCTTGGTTAACTATACAAATTTTCTTCACTACAATTATGGCATTGATTGTATTGTACATCGTATACATGATTTCTCTCAATAATCATTAGCATCATTGTTGTGTACAATATAACAGTCTGAATCACGATGCCATCGTCCCTAATCAATTCAGAGAAATGTTTCATCATCGCATAATGAATTCCACACCAAAATCTTATCATGCAGACATCAACCTGCATTGTACTGCTCCGGACTCCGCCCCGTTCAATGTGCGTTGCAGTCAAACCATGTGTGAGGATTGAACCTGGTTAGCTGTTAGTGACCGGAAAATGGTACACCCAAAAATTTAATCAGGTTTTGTGTACTCAAGCAGCATGTGCGGGGACCGGTAAATCTTCACTAGAGTCCAGTAAAGGACCTCTTCCACTCCAAGCTCACCCTCAGCTCTAGCAGCATATATATCCTCGCATATGGCAATCAATCTACACGAGAAGCATGCAAGAAGTAATGTAAATTAAGATGTATCATAAATAGGGTGACTTACGATCTTATTGTAAAATAATGCATCTTTAGTGACATCAGTCACGTTTAGACATTCTCCCCTCAAGGGAAGAATGGGGAGAAAATGATCAGCGGTACGGTACGGTTATCTTCAGGAAAGAAATCTACAGTACCTGTCACAGGAAGGTAGATTCTCAAAAGGAATTCTCATCCTTAAGTCAGAGCACTGGAGTCTGATAAAACGTCCAACAGCAAGAACAAAGGTTATGTAAAGCCCCCATATGCTGAACTTGCTGAGTGTGTCGCCGAGAATGCCCTCTGAAATTACAATATCAGAAATATTGTACAAGGCAATATCATCAGGAAACAAAATGAACCATGGACACAAATAATTTCATGAACAACTTACGCGGTGGAGTCTCCTCAGATATTATGACTGCCATAGGTCCCTTCAAGCCACCACAAAGTCCACTTAAATTTGATCGATTAATATCTTGGAATGCCCACCACTCAAATTGCTCACGATTGATGATGAGATCAGCACTAACAGAAATATCCTGACAAATTGATTTAAAATTTTGTAATAGTAATTTTGGATTACTTGAGAAAAAAATAGTATAATTGTCGAAGAATGAACACCCTATCTCCTCCCTCTTCGCGACTATCACTCAATTAAAAAGAAATAGTAATTCTAATTTATGATCAACAGTCAGAAGGAAAAGTTCCAGTGTTTACTGCAAAACTAGAGCAGTATAGGCAACAAAATATGTTTAGCTTCTAGCGGTCACCCCATGCAATGCCAGTATATGTGTTTGGGTACAATGGAAAGGAGAAGTTAGTAAGATAGATTGCATATTAATGAGTTTTATTGATGAGTATGTTGCATAAGGTGTTTATTTAGATATAAATAGGGTGTGAAGGATAGGAGAAGGGATTCATATGTACTCAGAATAAGATTACCTCTTCCAAAGGTCTAACGTCACCTGAGCCAGTGAGACGGAAATATCTTGGATAAACATTATAGATCCTAAAGCTGTTTATAGAGCCATTAAGAACCATCTGAACATCAGACTGCGTTGGAAGATATTGAGGATCAACAGTTTTTTCATATTTCACAACTTCTTTCCCTTTTGGCCTGTCCCTTGAAAGTATCCAGGTGAAAAAAATTTCCATGTCCGTATTCCATTCAAGGGATTGAATCAATCTGGTCCGAACAACACGGGGAACAAGCCACAATGTACTAGCATCAGCTTGACAACATATCAGCTGGATATCATTCTTATTATACGTATCCAAATAGCCAAAGGGATCGGGATTGACATTTGAATCTAGTAGATCCCACCGTAATCTTTCGCATAGAGTAGTTTGATACAAATTCAACCTTCCACTTACAGTCTTGATATCAACCTGAAAGGTAGCATCTTTTATGGGGTTTGCTATGTTTGTCGGGTTACCACTGCTATACATCTGTGAGGAAAAAAGAAAAAGATGAGCTTCAATGAATTTTTAATATGCTATTTGGGGTGATAAAAATTTTCCAATCATCAAACTTATTAGAAATCAGAATAGTAACATAACAACTCAAAATTAAAATAAAAAATATATATATATATAAAAAAAAACAAAAGTAATAATAGACAATAATATAATTTTACAAATAGAAAAAATTACAATACCTCTCTTTAAATCTAAAGAAGAAACAATAGTATTCTATCTAAAAAATAAAAGAATATAATTATTATACAATGCACTAGTAAACAAGAGAAGGAAGTGAGTTAGGTGATTTATAAGGTAAACATTATGTTCCTTTTATAAAAGGAAAAATAAGCATTAACATATAATTTTTCTGAGGTGGAACTTCTCTTCTCATATTCTCTCACTTGAAGATTTTGATTAAATTAATCAAATATTCACCATATATTATTATTGTTTTCCATGTTGCTATTTTTCCCATTAGGCCTCCCTTAGGATCAATCCATATAAATTTGTCACTACTAACTGACTTTGTCATAATATCTGCTAGGTTCTTCTTGCTTTATCCTGAAATACAAGCAAGGATTCCTTGTTATGTACAAGAGATTCTCACTATCACAATACACAACAATCTTATACTACATATACCTGAGTTCTTCACGTATTGGGTGACTACCATGTATCCAATGCATACAGTACTTAAGACATTTTCATCCTTTCTACTTCAATGCTAGGATTCAAATTTGAAAATAATTTTCTTAATAGAAAGTGGGGCAGAAACTAGCTTACACCCATGTTGAAGCATTGCAAGACCTTAAGTAATTATTTTAATAAAGCTAAACATTCCTATCTTTTATATCTTGGTGAATTTGCATCCCTAAAATCTTGTTTATTGGTCCCTAGTCCTTCACATCAAACTTCCTAGTCAACTATGCCATCATTTATTGGATTTGAGCTTTGTTGGGACAAATCACCAACATATCATCCACATACAATGATAAAATGATAAAATCATTCTTATCAAATCTATTGTAAATAAGGCTAATCATGAAGAGTCAAATCTCGTACTAACTCCAAGGCACTTGCTTTAGACCGTATGGAGATTTGGTTAACCTACAAACTAAGTTTTCTTTTTCTTTTAAGTCTTATAGTTGGAGCATACCAATCATCTCTCCAAGTTTACCCGGAAGAAAAATAATATTTGCATCTCGACTAACAATAACTTTATAGGTAGTGGAATCACACAAGAAATATCCTTGTTGAATATAGAGGAAATAAGATTTGGGATTAATCTCCCTTGTGTATAAACCACACATAGGGTAATCTATTTATAATAGAGAGAGGTACAACTAAAAGAGTAACTGAAAGTAAATAGAATAAACAGAAGATATTGTTTGATATTGTGGTTAATAATATCTAACAATATCAAACAATATCTAAACAATATCTAACAGTCTCTCTCAAGTTGGAGCATACAAATCGTATGTGTCAAGTTTGTTACAAATATAATCAATTCTAGGCCCCTGTAAAGACTTAGTAAAAATATCTGCTAACTGATCACTTGAGTTAACAAACTCAGTCTTGATATCTCCAGACATAATCTTTTCTCGAATGAAATGATAGTCAATCTCAATGTGTTTGGTCCTCTCATGAAAGAGAGGATTAGAGCTAATATAAAGAGCAACCTGATTGTCACACACAAGTGTCATTTGTGACATCTCCAAATTGTAACTCTCTAAGCAATTGCTTAAGCCAAACAAGTTTGCAGGCAGCTAAGGTCATAGCTCTATATTCTGCTTTTGCACTGGATCTTGCCACAACACTTTATTTCTTACTTTTTCACGAGATCAAGTTACCACCAATGGAGACACAATATCCAGATGTAGATCTTCTATCAAAAGGAGTTCTTGCCCAATCAACATCTGAGTAGCAAACAACTCTTGTATGGTTATTAAAACCATATAACAATCCTTTTCCAGGAGATTCTTTAATATACTTCAAGATACAAATGACTGCATTCCAATGATCTTCACATGGGGAATTAAGAAATTGGCTTACCACACTGACTCCAAAGGAAATGTCAGGACGAGTAACTGTAAGATAATTCAATTTCCCAACCAATCTTCTATACTGCTCAGGATCAGATATAGGCTTCCCCTGATTTGGTAGAAGTTTAGTATTAGGATCCATGGGTGTGTATCAACAGACTTTGAACTCATCAACCCAGTTTCCTCCAAAATTATCATGGCATACTTCCTCTGAGATACAACAATACCATCATTAGACTATGTCACCTCAATACCCAAGAAATATCTAAGTTTGCCAAAATCTTTGGTAAAAAAATGATGACAGAGATGTTTCAATTGAGAGATGTCATGGTTGTTACTACCTGTAAGAACGATGTCATCAATATATACTATCAAGTAAACACATCCAACTTCACAAACCATTTTTGGAATGGTCACAAAAGAAATAGAGGAAAGACATGTATAAAAAGATAATGGTAATCGATAATAACTCAAAACAATATAATGGGGAGAGGAATTACATGTAGAACGAATACTTTATCAAAGGACAATGTGAAGGTCAGACTCAAGTGTCAAATCCGGAGGAGACATAGTAGTTGACACTTGAATGGAGTCACTTGGTAGTGGTTGTGATTGGTTTCGACGACTATAAACCTGAAGAGGCAGTGGAGAAGAAACTGATTGCGGAGCAGGAACTAATGGTGAAGAAGACACAGTTAGACGGATCACAAACAACAAGAACATTAAATGTACTAGGAGTGTTGACAAGATTGGATGGAGACATAGATAAAAATTGACTTTTAAAATAAAGGGAGAACTCATCAAAGGTGACATCTGCAGACACAAAATAATGGTTAAGAGAAAGAAAAATATTTGTATCATTTTTGTGATCTTGTAAATCCTAAGAAAACACATTTGTGATCTAAGAGAAAACTTGTTAAGACCAAAACTTAAATTATGAATAAAACATGTAGATCCGAAAACTTTTAAAGAAAAGGGATGAAGAGGTTCATGAGGGAATAAAATGGAATGAGGCATTTTATTATCTAAAACCGAAGAAGGCATGCGATTAACGAGATAATATGCAATAAGAAGAGCATCACCTCAAAAATGTTGAGAAACCTCTCTATGAATTAAAAGAGTGTGAGTTGTTTCAATAAAATGTCTATTTTTATGTTCAGCTACACCATTTTGTTGAGGTGTATAAGCGCAAGAAGTTTGATGCAAAATACCGTGAGAAGCCATGAATTGTTTAAAAGAATGAGAAAGATATTTACGGTCATTATCACTGCGCAAAACTCTAATAGAAACACCGAACTAAGTTTGAATTTCATTAAAAAAAGTTTAAAAAATATGAAATAATTCAGAACGATTTTTCATCAAAAATAACCAAGTACATCTAGAATAATCATCAATGAAAGTAACAAAGTATTGAAAACCTAAAGTAGACTTAACGCAACTACGTCCCCAAATGTCAGAGTGAACCATGGCAAAAGGGGACAAAGCATCAGGTGTGACACTACGAGAAAAGGAAGTACGACTATACTTGCCTAATTGACACGATTTACACGCCAAACTAGATAACTTGGACAAGGCATGGACAAGACTTGGATGACCTAACTGAACATGAAGAAGAGAGGGAGATTCCATAATTATACCAACATGTATAGAGGGACGGAGATGATAAAGACCATGAGACTCACATCTTGTGCTAATCACCTATTTCGAACTCCGGTCCTGTAAACACAGAATTGTTGGTAAAAGAAACAACACAATCAAGAGAACAAGTTACACGAATGATGGACAATAGGTTAAAAGGAGACTCAGGGACATAAAGAACATTATCAATGGTTAAAGAAGGGAAAAGTTTAACAGTTCCAACACTATGAGATGATACTTTAGAGTCATCAGCCAGTGTAACAAAAGGTAAAGGATTAGGAGAGGATAAAAAGGAAAACAAAGATTTGTTACCAGTAATATGATCAATGACTTTTGAATAAAAAATTCAAGGACTAGAAAAAGAGGATTGGGTCAGACTAGCAAAATATGTACCTGTGTGTGCGACAGACGTAGTGGAACTAGAAGACTATTGATCCTTATACCATTTGAGAAATTTGTTGAACATAACAAGTGTGTCAGATGCAACAGAAGAAGGAGGATCCCTAGCAGACAAAGGTGGGGAAAGATCGGTCTGAACAACTGCAGCAAATCGAAGATGACGACCATGTAATGCATGACACTTATTAATCTTGTGACCTAACTTGCCATAATGTTCACACTTAAGACACATTTTTCCCTGTTTGCGAGGACAAGTCCGATCATCACGGTGAGAAGTCAACGCAAAAGAATCATTAATAGAATTAGAAGTAATAAAAGGAGTGGAAAAAGTCATGAAGGACGGGAGAACAAACCCTAAAAAATTCAAAGTAATACAATCAACCCACGAAGCACAGATCCAAAACGAGAAGACCAAAACAAGTCCGTTGAGACTAAACGGCGCAGGAGACAACGGACGACCAACTCTGATAGTGGTGATCTCAACGGCACAGTAGTCATCTGACCGAGACGAGCAAAACCATATGTCACTAGTAAAAAATGAAACTCCGGCGACTACTCTAGCGACGACTCCGGCAAAGTCTCTAGCAATAGCGGCGTGAACCAGTACACTAGGTAAGTTCCCAAGAAAGAGAGGTGGGTCACTAATGGACACGCTTAAATACCAAGTCTTTCCTTATCAGAACCTTCTTATACATGCACTTTCACACTACCAAATAATATTTAATAACAAAGATAACTCTTTTCTGATGTGGAAGATCAGTTTAACCGGCAACAATAGCAACTCCAGCAGTGAACAAAGGCGAAATTTTTTTTTTCAAAATAACCTTAAGCTCTATATACCATGTTGAATATAAAGGAAATAGGGTTTGAGATTGTAGGAAATCAAATAGTATTTTAGGAAAGAATAAA